TCATGTTAAAACTAGCTTTAGCGAGCCTGTCAACAGGATATCGTAGCTTGGAAATAAAGTCGCATTAATATCGTATATGGACATTATAACCAGTTCCAAGTCTGGCACAACTTGTTCACCTGTCTTTAAAGCAATCTTACTTATCAGAGCTAACTTGTATCTGGAAAACAGTGGTTAGTACAGGCAATATAAATAATGGTGCAAGCAAAATTGATACTGTTGACCTGAAAACACACCGATCACTGTTATCTGACTTTGTTTCACCAATGATGCAAGGATAGACTATTGCATTGCCACAGTTCTGTAGCACTAACAAATCCATTTGGGGATTGTAGCTATATGTTATATTATCATGTTTTATCAAAAGTGGATTTCCTTTGTTGTCATCCCAGAAAATATCCCTTAAATATTGAGAAAGTGCTGAGCATATAGTTGATTGATGTAAATATCCACCTCTAGTAACCTACCTGTCACGTATGAGTTGATTTTTACTTAAAGGCATATCAACAACAAGGCTACTCAAGCCTACATCAGTCTGATAACCACTTGTTCCTTGGATTGATTTAGCAAACTCTGTCCCAAACTTCAATAGGATAATATAGTTCCAAATCTCTTGCTCATTCACCTCTCCCTTATCATTTTGGATTACAGTAAAATAATTTGCAAAACAATAGCCAAGGATTGTCCTGAGTTTGTTGACAAGACCTCTTGTTGTAAGGTCTGTAGCAGACTGTATCTGAGAAGGCATATGCATTTAGTGATTCTTCTGCATCATTATCATGTAAAGAAATGATAACTACCTTGTTCCCAATTGTGCAGGGTTTAACTAGCTTGTCATAAAAATTTCTCCCATTTTCAGGCAAGCTGCTCTCATTAGATTCTATAGGCCTTTCCCTTGGCAATCCATTAGTTTGAATGTCATGTTCAATGTGGTTATTATCCAAATCACCGCACTGGAACGTTTTGCTGTAAAGATGTGAGCCACACAGCATTGTGATAAACGTTGATAAATTTCATTTGATTACCCGTTAACAGACAATACGAATTGTTCGTGTAAGGTGTCGGTCTCACTAAACAAGTCGAACTCTGTTACAGGTCAGATACTTGCACCGTTTAACGTTGAACTATTTAGGCAGAAATGCCTTAAATTAAAAATGTTACCTGATAATCACAATTCCGACGAGTCATTAATACAATTGGAAGTGAACAAAAGAATGAGGGAAGCCACAATTAGTCAATATCGCAAACAGTATGTAAAATATTCCTTATACTAAAAGTAATGAGCAAGGCCTACTATGTATGAAAAACGAGAAAGTGAAAGGGAAGGGAGTACTTGCCTTCGTCGTTTGCTATGAAACAGTAAAAGGCAATTTTATGCGGCGGGTAGTATACAGCGTCAAAAAAGCATACCGGTACCGGCGAAAGCGCACGAATTAGTCATCGCAAACAATATGCAAAGCATAACTCGACTGACTATATCACTAATTCTACTCTATCCTATGTACACACTACTCTATGTCCCAACGCCCAGTCACAAAGTCGTTACTTGTAACAATAAAACCATATCACTAATTCTATGTACTTGTCCCTAACGCCCGAGTCACAAAGTCGTTACCTGGCTGAGCAACTATTACTTTCAGCGGCTTCTTCGCAGAAGAAGCAATGTTCTTCTCCACCAGACTATCCGGCTCGAGATCCGCTTCCTCGTCGTATCTTCGGAGGATAATGTCAGCGGTGGCTACATCGTCCAACCTTGGTTTGAGCTTCTTCTTTATCGCCTCCTTCAGGTCGTCAACAATACTTCATTGTAAGTCTTGTTAGTTTTAGCATTGATGGCTTTCACCGTACTTGAACCAGATGTTGAAAGGCATGATATGATGAGAGAAAATTTTAAGACGTGCTTTTTTTGCGCGATGTGATCTAATATATGGTGGCTTAATCAATGACGTATTATTATTAGGAACTTTCTAGACCTTTTCACAATGTAACCTGTATGCATAATGTGACCAATGATAATCAATGCGCAGAAACTGCTATCTTTCAAAAAATTCGGCATGGAAAACTAGTCATCTGGTTTGAGCTGAATTTAAATTGTTCTCCTATTGAAAACCTAACTTTTATATGAAATCAGTACTCTATCTCTAAATCTTCGAACTGGCGATCACGGTTCTGAATGGATGCTTCTAGCACAATCAATACGAGTATTTGAGTACATTACTTAATATTTATAAGGGATTCCATATCTTTTCCCAGCACTTATATATACATCCTTATTTCCATAATTATCGTTCATCATACGAACAACTATACAAACAAATCTACAAGTTGAATTCTATGTTCTGTAATCCATAGGCCACACTACAGCAATACTATTTCTATTAGTAACCTACCACGGCAAGAAATGGAACAATCGAGTGTCAAACTTTGCTTGACTCGTAATAAAATTATTATTAACAAAATAAAACAAATTACACATATTTATTATTATAGAAAATTTGAGCAATGTTTGAGCAATGTTCCAGGATCAAGAAAGATAACCGAAACGCAAGCCTTTCATCTTTTCATGCTCGAGGAAATCCTGGTGATTTGTAAGTTGCTTCACATTTGTAACTGCTTCATCATGACTCGAAGTCTCCTAAAAAGTTCGGTATTATTTCGAGTGACGTCTGTTCGCTCGTATTTACTGAGCCTCTGTTAATTTCTTGAGACTTTTAATGTCCTAAAATTTATTGTATACATTAATAAACAGTAGCAGAACATGATCGTATAAAAAACCAACCCGTTCACAATTTCCTTTGCTTACCCTAAATCTCCTCTTAATCTCTTTATCAGCTTGCTGCATTCGAGCTTTTTTTGCTTCTAGTTTCTCGATTAACTCTTGTTTTCGTTTAAGTTTGTTATTTCGCTCTTCTTCTAACCTAAAGATGGATGGAGATTGGCAAATTGACCAAAGCATAAAACCCAACCGTGAAGAGTAGAAAAACAAGAATTGTACCTCAATCGCTCTTGCTTTTCGAAATTCAATCTCGATAGCATCTTTTGATGTCGCATTCCAGCTTCATCGGGTGCCTTGACCTTAATATTCTCTACAACTTTTTCAGGCAAATCTCCCTCCTGTACTACTTCAAGATCCTCATATAAAGTCCTTGATTATCATATCAATTTTAGTAGTAATTACAATTAGTCAAACACTTGTTCCCTCGCCATCTTGCGGGTCATGTTTTTCCAAGCAAAACTTTAATCACATATATTGTGCAACCAGCGAAGCAAACCATACACATACGTGAAATTTCTGCATTCTCGAATCCTCTTACGCAGATGACTCTGCTCATGTCGATGTGATTGTAGTTGCAAGTGGATCTTGTCCATTGCTTGCTTTGCCTCTTGTATTGCTGTTTTATCAGCATGCCGCTCCAGGCAGGCCTCTCGATTCAACGCTCGCAGTTTACAAATAGCAGTACGAAATTTGTTATGAAAGGTCCTTGCTTTTTGATCATCAAAGCTAAGCTAAGCGAAATAAACACAGAAGGTGATTCATATAAGAGCCAATATTTGGTAAACATGTGGCAGGCTTACGAGTGATTTGAAAGATTCAACTCGAGACAAAGTTCTGAATTTTACAAACCCCTCATAACATTCTATGTTTTAACTCCAGTAGCAAGCTCAATCCCAAGCATCGTACCTTCTCCGATCCCATTGCCTCCTTCATCCTAATCCGTGTTTCCTCTTTTATCTCTTGACAGACGTCCAAAAGTTGTGTCAAATATGGAAGTTTTATCTCAAATTCGTTAGTGTAAGCCGAACGTGTGTCTTTCTTTATATCTGTCATTGTTGCTAGAGCACGATGACTGTAATTATAAATAAAGGTGTTTAAATTGACAGTGTGAATAGGAAAGAGTTGATTATTCTACGTAGCGAATGCAAGCTAGGAGATTCCTTATAAACGGACCCGTGATCTGTAATCCCTTGGTTGATTGAATTAGAAAGTGCACATCAAATTCTCTAGGTCAAGATTATCGAACGCCAATCAGAGATGACCCGCGGAACATGTTAATAATTTCTTTACCCGACTTTGCAATTTTTTTTACTGGCAAAGTCAAGCTCTTAACAAAAGAAGCATTGGACCAAGGCTTCATCCTTGTAAGACGTGCAGTTCATCACTGTTCAGACTAAGAGCTCTAAACCCCACTCGCTCTACTCTACCAACAAACGTACTTTCCAGTTATCAATTATTTCTTCTTCTCGTCGCGTCAAATCCAGGCTCAGAATTCGCTCCCTCTGGAAGATCTTTTTTATATGCTCCAATACACATCCAATCATCAATTATACTGTCGCGGTAGAAATCCAGGCAAAGCGGGGTTTAATCGATTACAAAATAAATGATATTCGGACACGAAAAATAATTTTTACAACCACAAGTCACGGTTTTTGCAAAATTTTATTAGTCACCCACTCAACGCAAAAATAAAATAGATGGTCGTAATTTTTTTTTTCGGGCATACGTTATCTCGTAAAGACTTTGATGCTAACTTGTCAAGTTTTCTACCAATTAGGCGCAAAGCGCCCTCGCTCCGCGAATAAGAAAAATGAACGTCGTTATTCGGTAAAAAAATATGGAGACCGCACGCTAATTATAATCTAAAATTACTTTACAGAATTTCTGAAAACATCGCTGGAAGAATTCAAGGATGCTTTGCTGGAGAAAAAAAAAAGATTGCAGAAAACAATTTACAAATTTGCGCGACTCAAATAGACAGTCGTCTTTGAAAAGATTCTCCCCAATATTAATCCATGTAATAATAATGATAATGCAGTTATACAGTTATTGCATCCAACTCTGAAGGAAATTCATTAATCTTCCCATGATAAGTGGTCTAAATTTTTAATATCATAAATTACAACCCCGGCCACCATTGTACTCTATCCACATAGATCGGTCAACAAATAATGTTATCAACTCGTTACAGATTTGATACAACAGCCAGGGTAAAGTCCGTGGTTGTTGCTGTTCCTCCCATATCTAGTGTCCTTGCCTGGGGAAAGACATTGATGGAACGTGTCTTAGATGATGAACACAATATCGAAACGAATGTGCGATTGTAACAAACAAACAAACAAACACTTACGGATCCCATCTCAATTGTCTTGTATAACGCATTCGAGATTTTAACAGCATGGTCATCGAGTCCCAAATGGCGCAACATCATTACTCCAGAAAGAATCATTGCCGTTGGGTTGGCTTTGTTGTGTCCTTGGATGTCTTTCCCTACATGTCTACAGCCCTATATATATAACACGATAAACTATCAATTCGAGTATATCTATATTATATAAATGTGCGCCTAAATAAAGACCTCGAAACCTCAATTCGAGTATTGCAGATATCTCATCAGCATCAAAAATCCGGCTTTATACTTACTGGTTCAAACAATGCAAGATCTTTGCCAATATTACACCCAGGAATGATTCCGGCTCCGCCAACAAGGGCAGCGCCGACATTACTAACAATATTGCCGTACAAGTTGGGCATTACCATCACATCAAACTGCTGGGGTTTGCTGACTAGCTGCATGGAACAATTATCCACAATCATATCCTCAAATTTTATCCCGGTCAATTCGTATTCTTTGGCTACTTCGCGACAAGTGTTGAGAAAGAGTCCATCGCCTAGTTTCATGATGTTGGCTTTGTGAACACATGTTATTTTCTTGCGGCCATTTTTGAGGGCATAGTCAAATGCAAAGCGTGCGATGCGTTCCGTTTTTGCTCGAGTTACAATCTTCAATGACTCTACTACCCCCGGATATGACTATCGAAAATAAGACTCATGGTTAGAAAATGAAATTTGTTCCAAAAAAAAAAAAAAAAGAGCGCCGGTAATTCGAGTTCACCTGATGTTCTAATCCAGAATATTCTCCTTCTGTATTTTCTCTGATAAGGGCAAAGTCAACATCTTTGTGTCTAGATGGGCAACCCCTAACGTTCTTAATCAAAACCAGTGATGCGTAAATATCGAGGTTTTTTCTTATTGACACATTAAACGACGAATGTGCAAGTTTTGTTATGGGTGTGAATAGAATGCCTGCGATAAACAGTATGTGATGGACATCATTGTCAGTCAGTCAAAATTTTCAATCATTGGCGTTAACTCGCATAAAAAAGATAGTATAGTTAGTTACCTTTCAGTGCTACATTATTCCTTTTCAAAGATTCAACACTCTTTTTAAACAATGCATCCTCTTCGTTAGAAGTGCCTGTAACATCGAATTGCTCCCATTCAATCGGCACGTTCGCTGCTTTAAAGACCGTCTTCACAGCTGATGTTGTTTCCTGGCCTATGCCATCACCAGGGATCAAGGTTACAGTGTATTTTCCACCATATTTTGTAAAATCTGACTGTTGGATCAACAAAAAGCTTGAGATTGTCAGAAGTTCTCCTCGCTAGGTGTGGTGTGGTCAATTAGTTTGGCTAAAACAAACTTACCGTTTGAACGTGGGGGATCATTGATGAATTTAAGACTGGAGTGCTGTAGTTACGGGCAAGCTTTATAAAATGGTGTATTTCAGTCTGCGATGATCCCTACACACAGAAGCTATTTAAATTTTTTTTCACACCCCCTCCTCCCACTGCACTGGAGATGAAACATCCACTCACCTCCTTTCTAACAGCAGTCGCTAGTGCGTGCTTCCTGAATAAGGTCCTGAGCATAGTGATTCGGTTGCAATGCAACTAAATTGCCCAATTCAGACAAGAGAAAAAAGTAATCAAAAAAATGAAGATAATCGGTTGATTCTTGTGTTCAGGATCGGTACGTCACACCTGCAATCCTGTGACTATTTACATATGATTGTTTGCTTTTTCATTTCACCCTGAACTTTACTGCTCTCGTATACACAGTAATACACAGGAGTGAATGCCATTATTGTTAGAAAGTTTGGAAGCACTAATATTAAACTCAAAAATTGTGGACTTCTTAAAGTTTACACGACAGTTTAAATTCATGGGAATTGACGTTCAGCATCAAAATGGTGTAACCTTAATTCACACGTTAGCCTGCCAGTTTCGATAACGGCCATGTGTTTAATACCAACACTAAGAATTCCCTGTGTGCTGATATTAATATGCATTGCGTTTACAACTCGGTAAAAGCCCACCCCCACCCCTTTGACTGCTGGGCGGCAATGAGTATAAAGATTAAACAACATGTATCGGGTTTTGCGTGACATTCTTAAACTATAGCCGTGAAATGCCAAGGCCAGTTTATATAATAATAACTAATAATTATTTAATATTAACCCAAATCCAAAAAGCAGAAAGTAGCTCAATAAGACACAAGACGTGACTAGAAATTTGAACTCGTGATTGTTCAAAAAAGGTATCTTTATTCTATATAGGGTATTTGTCAACAGACGTGCTACTCGTGGTTATTTTGCAAAATAAACAACAATTTAATGAAACAATATTGATAATGACACAGTATGATCATAGTAATAGGCCAATATCGATTACCAATGTTTAACTTATACTTTAAATAAAAGGTGGAATAACCAATCCAAAAGTATAGATTAAATGAGTACTAGGTTGTGATCAAGTGACTTTCTTTATTCACAAATTCAATGAGTTGGTTGACCACGTTTAGTTAGTTTATCATACAACTTTCCAAACTTAAGCTCTGCGCAAACTGTTTTCTGTCAACTTTCCTTGGATAATAAATAAATATTTAACTTTCTTCTAAAATTCTGGCAAGTGGTAGTAATCCTTCTTGTCAGTTCAGTTAGAGAAAAATTTTATACATGAAATTATTCCCACAGGTAATTTTCGGTTGTTACGTAATAATTGCTAAAATTTGATTTTGCCAACTAGTCTGTCGTCTATAAACTGGTATTCATCCAAATTTTTTGTGAAATTCGATGTACAACTTTTTAGAGTTGCACGTTTTTTGTATATCAATGCACTGCCATTGTATCACCATGCACTGCATGTATTCCAAATCTCATATTGTCACAGTTCACAGTGTCGAATTTATTATACCTGCTGTTTTCGAAACATTTACCTCCACTGACGCTTACATAAGAGTGCCGCAATTTTCTAGTTGACCGAGTGTCGATAATTCTGTATGCTTTAGACTTGCTCACTGTTATATCACTCGAGTTGGTAAATGTCATCATCCACAGCTGTCATGTGTCGAAGTGCCATATCCATAAACCTGTTGACGAACCAATGAGAAGCCATTCGGAATTCAGAAATAGCAAGTTTCCCCATATCGACAAGAAGATGTGTGAGAGAATAATTCTTTTATAGCAACGTGTATTTGTATTTATTTTATTGGCACTAAAATGACGTTTATACTAACACCAAAACGTCTGAACGGGTCACAGAACAAGAGTGGGCAATTCCGTAAAAATTCTTTCTTCATATCCCCCACTCTGACCCATTTTAACATGATATCAACAGATTTTCACCGGAGCGGCGCACGGTAACCTTGTGAATACTACTGAATAGTATGCAGACCATCAAAAACCGACCGCTATTATAGTAAGGGCTGCATGCCAAGAAAGCCTTGTTGTTGCTATAGAGAATTAGAAGAAGTAGTACAAGTATGTAATCTGCTTAATAATTCTTAGATTCTTTGGCTGTTGGCCTGGTACTTGGACTCGTGTTGCATCATCGTCCACACTCATGCTGACAAAGCTGTTTCCCCCTCAAATAAAATTTGTCGCTTGTAGTAAGCATATATACACGTAGACAATATAGAGAGGAGCAGGAATTGACGATTAATCCACAATGTGTTCACGTTTGCAAGTTTGATTACGAGCGCTCAAGCCAAACCATGGGGATCGCACAGAATTCTGCCCCGCATCGTTAGAAGTTGTACAAATGTGCATGCGTATAAATTCAATTTAATTGAATGCAAATGTATATTAATATACTATAATTATACATTCACATTACATGAAACCAATTGGTCACACAAGTCATCTAAAACGTGGTGATTTGTAAAGAAGGACGTGAGAAATGGGGGGGGGGGAGATTACGCTTTAGTTGCAGTCCGAGTCAAAAAGAGTAAGTAAATTGCTCGAGTCGTGGGGGAATGCTTTTTCTGGTCGATCTTTTCACATATAGTTTATGCACAGAAGAACAGCTTTATCGTTCGATGAGTAAACGCAATAGGCTGGTATTTTATATTTGGGTAACATAAATGATATTCAATAGGGTATTCTAAAAGCCTACATTAAGATTATTGGTATGCTTATATTCTATACAAAAAATATCTATACACATTAATTAATAACAATGTCGGAATTCTAATTGTGTTTCCATTAATATTAAAACGCAACCTCGTCTGAATTGAATGAAATATACTGGTGATCAAGGATAATCACCAATCTTGCGGCTCTCAACAGTTTATTAATATGATTATGTCAAAAGAGGTGGGTTTTTTTACTGAATGCATCATTATTAATATCGTTTGAATCCTTCATTGTACAAATATTCTTGTATCAGTAATATCTGCAACTGACCAATTACAGTCGCCCACTAGATTACAACGTATGCAACTCTATGCCCCTTTACTTTTAATTGGTACGTCGTTATTGTTAAGCTGCTTCGCACGACCAAAAACGTCCGACCAGCGGCTATTGCAAGGGAAACTTATTGGATGTATAGCAACCAAGTAATATGCATTGCAACATATACTGAATGGCGAGGTTAACAGGTTAGCCGCTATTTCAACCATAAAATTCCATCGCTGCAAGGAGAACTGCAGAGTTGCTGCAGCAGACGATGTGCCCCGAAAGAGTGAAATATCCCCAAAAGGCTTTTGTTGTGAAAAAGAATGCTATTTGACTTGTTTAGTAAGTGTACGTATGCAAAAGTCAACGTGGATGCTGACTCGATTAGTAACTTTGCCACATAAATAATTTTTGTTTGTTTGTTACAGCCCCAGGTCGTATATTAAATATATTACCTTTTGCAATAAGCTTATATAGGCAATATCTTATTACCACAAAAGTGTGCTTATAGCACTCGAGTGTTACATGCCGGATTTTCACATAAAAAGCTTGTAACCGTTTTTCATTTCTCAAACAGTTTATTGTTCTTTCTTCGATTCATTAGAAGGATACTTTACATTCCTTTACAAACAACTCGACGTCATAACGAAGGGTTTTTGACCTGTCACCTAGCATTCTTCTTTCTCAGTAGATTGTAAAATATATACAGTTTGAAATACTAATAACGACTAAAATAATTTCATCATCAACCTTTTAATATAAATTTTACTCCTCTATTTTATACAATGGGCAACTGCTATTCAACTGCAAACTTGGAATGCGAACAGGACTCGTCTCCACGCAGTTCAGTTAGTCGTTCATCATCAAAGAAACGAAGCAGCATCGAATCATTTAAAACAGAACGAAGATGTAGCCAAGCTCATCCAAGCATATGGCTGTCAGACTCGACCAACTTGGAAGAAGACGTGGGCCGCATTCAACTACAACATCGCTTACTGCGCAATGCATGGAATGCCGATTTTATTGCCCCAGTCAAGGAGAAACTTCAATCTGGCATCAGAGTCCTCGATATCGGAAGCGGAATGGGTGTATGGGTATGCGAACGAGCGGCCGAATTTCCAAAGTCGAAATTCACTGCCATCGACGTCCTCACTGAGGTGACTGCAAAACCCTTGCCACCAAATGCGAGGTTTACTCAAAACACGCTCCAGAAAAAGCTTCGGTTGGACGACAAGATGTTTGATTATGTTTATGTGCATTTCCTTACGGGATACTTTACAAAGAAAGCTTGGGAAGATTTAGTATTCAAGGAAGTCGTTAGAGTGGCTGATTCTGGCGGATGGATTGAATTTGTTGAAACCAGTCTCATGTTGGACCGTGCTGGTCCCATTACTCGAAAGTTGTTGGATGCAAGTAAGTACATAAACGATCTAATAGTGCGTGGAAAAAAAAAAGACTGTGTACGTTTATCATTGACAATAAATTTTTTATTTAAACAGCATTTGCATGGGCAAATTCTCGAGGTCTACACATGTCACTCTACTCGCAACTATCGCGTTTGCTTGAATCCCACCCCCATATCAAAGAATACAAGCGAGATACACGCTCGCTACCAATTGGCAATTGGGGAGGAGAATCTGGGGATCTGGTACGTTTCTATGATGAACTCTCGGTCAATTCGTCGCGATAATTCCAAATTACGAATAAAATGTTAATATATATCTGTCTTGTATTCTTGTTTATTAGGCTCTCAAAGCTTATCTCCCGCTCTTCCGGATAACGAAAAGACAGAATATGGAATTTATGAGCACATCGAATGATGAATATGACGCTATGCTAGAAAAACTTCCAGACGAGTTTAATGAATACCGCACGACGTTTACGACATATCGCTATATAGCCCGAAAGTCATAATTTCTTCTAGTCACCTTACAAAATTTGTTTATAGCGACTTCTTTTAAATTGTTTGTAATATTTATACCAAAACCAAAAATGTACAAAAATACATATTCTCATAAACTATTAAAAAAAAAAACTTGGTAAAAAATGAAAAATAATCATTTTCGCAACGAATCTCCGGATTTTTTTTCTCAGCCGTTGTCTCCCTCTGCAAAAATTTTTGAATTCATTCCTGTGTTCCGCGGCATCTCTGCGTATCGATAACAAATATGCAAGAATACGTCTTTCAATAAGTTTAGGGAACCAACATTTTTTCGCGAGGGACAAATTTCTTATTTTAATCTGGTGGTAGTCGACTGAGCCCCAGAATGCCCATACATAAGCGAATGAATGCATAAAAAACCCGTCGCCAATAAGTAGCCCAGTAATAGTCTTATTAAACTCTGGGTTAGCACAGGATTTCGCTTGGTCGGCTCAATATAATTGTTATGCAGGGTTATTTCAGCCAATCTGTCGATCAGCTTAAAGAATGCCGCGCAAATATTCAGATACATATCTAGTCGCCAATCAGACAATTTCTAAATCAGTGACACATAAATTTTGTGTTTTTGTAACTTGAATTTCGGGTATTTCGGAAGATGACATTAAGATAATGCTACAAACAAGCAAACAAACAAGCAAACAAACAAGCAAAGAGGAAATGGAAAGTTGAAACATGTCCAAAAATAATCGGGGAATGTGAATGCATTCAGTAAAATGTCAAATTGCACCACCACCTACCATCATGCAAGAGTTGTTACGAGAATTATAATCCGTGTATATTATAAATTGTCATTGTGGTCTCAAGACAATGTCAATACGGATAGTAGAATATCCGAATACGCCAAGTTCTGAAAGCGTATTCCAATCCACTTTTTCTTGTCCAACAAGTCTCTTTCGTTCGAAGCTATCCCGATCTAATGGTCAAGTAATACCAACAGTGTCACAATTGTTAAGAAAATAAGATACTGTATTTCAAATATTACACCTAAAATAAAGCTTGGCATCATCATAGTCCGAAATGCCAGGTACATTACGTCTTTTCTAGCCTGTTCTGTGTCATTGACATTACAATATGCACAAGGGATTAAAATTTTAAAGTAAATACAACATACTGGTTTTTTGTTTGTTTGTTATTCAAATTTTCATAAAATAATAAATTAGCAACTAATTATGCTGAACCAAATCACTAATACTGGACTATAAGAATAAAACTAAACTGCTTTTATAAAAAAGAAATGCAAATTTCTGTTACTTGGTTTGGAAATCTTGCCGTGTATCAAACACTGGCCCCCAGGCCTCCAAAATAGAGAACTAATGCAACTGTACTTTATGTACTAATTAAACTTGCTCGCAATGTCATTTTACATATACTTTCGTAACTTGTATTAATTAATGCTTATTTTCTCTGTTTAACCAATGATTGAAATCAGTCTAACAGTTTCGCCGATTCTGTCTTTTACTCTTGATCATTTGTAAAGTCGAAATAAGCTATACACGATGCGTTTAGAATTGTTTGACATGTGTATGTTCAAAATTTATTCGATTTGGATGAGAAATAAATTTAAAAACAAGAAATATACAGTATGTATGGTTAGTATTTTGTAGGGTTTCCTTTACTTTGCATATGTGGGGCAGTGAACCATTTGATGCGAAATATACAATGTGATAATCCAGTAAAGTTTTTTGCACATCTTTTCTGCAACAAACAAGCTGTATATGATCTACAAATAACACTCGCAAACAATTTAACTAAAGAGAAAGAGAGATAGAGGGGTAGTACCGGGTTCTACGCCCTGAGCCCGCTCAATATCACAACGGATATTTGCCTTCACCGTGCTTTCCGCACCAATGGAAATCAACATATCATGCCATCCCGTAAGACCAGAATGTTAGGAGCACGAAAGTCGTTATCGTGAAGCAAATCGATAGCATTTTCCACACTTGAAAATATAGTTTCTATTTCCTGTAGAGAGCCGTCAAAATTCAAGTACCCAGCGCCATTAAGCTCTTTGAGTCTATTCTCGATATCATTCAGCAATGCGTTTATATCTCTAGTCGTCTGCTGATCCGCACACTACTTTTCATCAATTGGAGCTATGATAATGTTTTCTCTTCTGTGGATTATCGGAAAAACGCGAAAAACGCCATATACCCTTTTCCTACAACTTATCTACCAATCGGATCTTAATATTTATCTCCACCTGTTCAGTTTGTTAAAGGTCAAACGCCAGAATAATCATGTATCATTAAATCATTAAGGAACGATTATATACAATCCCGGCGAAAATAATGGCGGTGACAATCGCTTTTAATGTTTTTATAAAAATTCAATACAAAATCGGTTATCTGTTATTATAGTAATGTGTAAATGTATTATTACTTTTCTTATTTATTTAATATGTCAGGCATAATTAAAAATACCCTTGTCTTTATATTTGCATTTTAATAATCTCGGTGAGATTTGGATTGACTATAAACTTATAATGATAATAACAGCCTCAAATCTACTATAAGATGTTTGCGTTTTTAGATTTGTTAATTAAATTTTAGAAGAAAAATATAATTTTTGCCTGATATAGTCTAACCCGTTAATGTAAAAAAGCTTTTACATTTGCTTCTTGTCAACTTACTCAAAATTTTATTCATAATATTAGGTTTAAATTAA